GACGGCACAGGACAGGAGCAGGACCAGAGCCTGGCTTCACTTGTGATCCGCAGTTGCTGCACTTTAGGAAACTCCTTGCACTAAAAAGGTTTTTGCCAGCCAGGAGTGGAAGGAATGGGCGCCCCAATTTTTTTTGTCTATGTGCCAGGAAGCAAAGGTGCTCTTTTAATCACCGGACCTTCCCTCCTCAAAGTTTTTTCCAGAGCTCTTGGCTAGAGGAGAGCTGATCCTGGTTTGAGTCACCGAGCCACAGCTCACCACCACATGAAACACAGCAGTGCTATGGATCATCCCAAAGACCCGTGGTATGAAAAATTACCCTGCCAGCAGGATGAGTGCACCCTGCTCCCAGCTGTCAGAAACCATGGAATCAGAGTCCCTCAACTTGGAAGGGACTCCTAAAGATCACCGAGTCCAGCTCCCAGCCCTTAGCAGGACGAAATTCATCCGAAAACCCCGAGCAGGGCTGGGAGGCAGTCGGCTGTCAAAGCCCCCCGTTCCCTGGGGTTTGGCAGGGTGTCACAGCCACCCACGGGACACCTGCAGGGAGATTCAGGGGGGCTATGGGGACCTTGCACGGCAGCGGGTGCAGCCCTGCTGGGACCCCTTCCCAGCCCTCGGCAGAGCCGTGAGGGGGAGCACTACCCCCAGGACCCCCAAAACCCCCATCCCGCAGGTGGGGCGAGGATGCTGCTGGAGTCAGAAGGGCAGGACAACCCACGGCGGGGCTGTCCATCACGCGGGGGTGCCTTGGGGGTGTTGTAGGAGCCCCCCAGCCCCCGTGCACGGCGGTGCGGGCTCCCCGGTACTCACCTCGGCGGGAGCGGTGCGGAGCGGCGGGAGGGCCCGGTCCCGCGGCAGGTGCCCGCTGCCCGCCGCTCCTGCTTTATATGCATCGCCCCGCGCGCTGATTGGCCAGGCCGCCTCCCGTCACGTGACCCCCAACTCCCCAAGAACTCCTCAGACCCCCCCCCCTTTCCCCGGGGCTCCCCCCACGCGTGGGTGCGGGACCCCCGCTCATCCCCGCGGAGACGCTGCCAGGCGGGCGGGGGAGGGTTAGGGAAGGGAGGGGGCGTCCCGATAGGTCGTGGCGTGGGGTGCGGGGGTGGGGTTGGGGTGGGGGTGTGGGTGCCGCCCGTGGGTTCCAGCCCGGGGCGGGCATCGCGTGCGAAGAGGGCGGGATGTTTGGGCAAACCCGCACCGCCCCGGTCACTCCAGTCACGCTACCGGCAGGATCTTAAAGGCGCCGGTCCCGCGCCCCGCTGCTCCCCAGGACCCCCCCGGGGGCCGCCCCGGCTGCCCTACTCGCCCCTAGACCCCGAGGGTTCCACAGAGCCCCTCCCGCGGCCCCCGCAGCGGCGCCCGCAGCCCCGGGACATCCGCGGGGTCCGGAGCCGCGGGGACGGCGGGAGCGTGGGAAAAGCGCCCCGGGCAGAGCGGTGCGGGCCGGGAGAGGGGCGCGGGGGGGATTCAGTCCCCTCGGGGCTCCGCGAGCACGTGGGGACGAGCGCAGATCGCCCGCAGCGGGGCTCCGGCCATCGCGCACCTCCGCGGGGGCTGCGCCGGTCCCGCCGCCGCTGTGCCCGGTAGAGCGGAGCGGCGGCCGCCGGCCCCGTGCGTGTCCCCCCCACCTCGCTCCGCAGGGACCCCGCGGGGACGTGGGCGGCGGGGCAGCCCCGGGGGTCACGGCCCCGGCTGCCCCGGCCCGGTTAAAGATTGTCCAGGTTCGCGTGAGAAGCCGCCGTGCCCTCTGTCACCTCTGTCCCCTGGGGACAGGGCGACCCGAGGGGCGAAGCGGGGCTGGGATGGGGTGCAGGGTGCACCGGAGGGAGGCGGGCACGCCGGGGACGATGTCCGGCGTCCGAAGGGGGGCTCGGGCAGAGTTTGCAGCCCCCAGCCCCGCTCCCCGCGGGGTGACAGGCCGGGTCCTGCCCTGCAGGGAGGACAAGGGGGACCAGCCCGCTCCCAAAATCTGTCGCCTCCGCCCTCATCCTTGTTCCCAGCCCAGCCGCTACGAGGTGGGAGATAGGCCAGGGGGTGCCGCCCCGCCGGGGGGTCCCAGAGGTGGCATTAGGGACATCGCGTGCGAAGGGGCTCCGGCCAGACCCGGGAGGGCCGTCCTGGTCACTCGCAGTCACGCTATGGGTGGGTGGGGGGGGAAATGGTTTTTAAAGGACCAGGGCGGTGCCCTCCCGGCCAGGAGCCTGGCCCGGGGTCAAGGCGGCGCCGGAGCAGCTCAGGATCAGCTCCCCGCACGGCTGGCTGCGGGCTGGGGAGCTTGTGCGGGGTCCCCAGCACTGGGGACGATCGTGGGTGTCAACAGCAGTGCCCTCGGCCACAGGGTGCTGCATCACCTGCGAGGGGACGGCAGTGCCCCGTCATTTGTGTCCCCTCGACAGGACACGGTGATCGCAGCCCCTTCCAGCCACGAGGAGAGGGAGAGAGGGGAGTGCCACCTGAAATGTCCCCTCTTAGCGACACCGAGCTGTGCCCCGCGCTGCGGGGCTGCTGGCCACCCATGCCACGAACGTCACAAATGTGCCCCAGGCTGGGGACGCTCGTCAGGCTGTCCTAAAGCCCGGCCGGGGATGGCTCTGGCACCTCGTACAACAGCGGGCACAGCGCTCGGTGCGCCCGTCCCAGTGTCCCCGCGTCCCTCCCGCGCGTGGGCGAGCGCCCACGCCGTGTCCCCGCACACCTGCGCAGGTGTGTCCCCGCACGGACACGCCGCGCCCACGGAGCCGCGTCCGTGTGCGGGGACAGGCTCGGGGGTGCGACCACGCTCCGTGTCCCTCGTGCGTGGGCACGTCCCCATGCCACACATGCCGTGCCACTCGTGCCTGCGGGCACCGTCACCCTGCCGCTCCCGCCGGTCCCTGCACGCACAGCCCGGTGTGACCGATCCCGCGGGGTGGTGACCCACGGAGGGGACAGCGACACCCGGCAGGGACAGCGGGCTGGCAGCGTCCCCGCCGCTGCCCCGGGCAGCTCCGGGGATCCGCTGGCTCAGCTGAGGGTGTTTTTGGGGTGTTTTTGGGGTGTTTTTGGGGTGTGAGGCTGCCTGGCACGCAAGGCAGCAGCTCTTAACGCTGCTCTCATCGGGAGGCACCCTGCCCTGGCAGGGCTTGGCAGCCACCGGGGCGGGCTGGGAAGGGCTGGAAGAGGATCCTGGGGAACCTCTCCGGGACCCTCCCCAGCTTCTCCAGAGCTTTGGGATGTGACGGGTGAGGAGTGGGTGGGTTCAGCATCAGCACGAGGTCTGAAATGCTGCTGGGAGGGTGAGGGGGGGTCACTCAGTTTACTGTAAGCTATCTAAAAGATTTTCTTCTCGGGCTGCTGTGGTTTGCTCACAGCTCAGGCAGAGGCACACACACACCCTGACATCCTCGCTGACCCCTGACTTTTTCTTCTCTCCTCCCGCCCCTGGCCATATCTTTTATAAGGTACATTAGGTGATAAATGTTTACAGTCTTTTCTCAATACCCGTTACTTATATTAAATGATGCCTTTTTACTTTAAACCAATCTATGAGTGCTAACATTATTAAGAATATGGAGGTAAGGAAGAAGAAAGAGGAGGAACAGGACTGGCTTATATTCTTCTATTTTAAAACTTTTGACCCCCATGTACAAAGTAAAAACCTCCCTGTACAGGTGTTAAAACCCCCCTGTACAACACTAAAAAATTCTTCTCTCTACTTTGTGACTATTTCTACTCTAATATCTAAACTTTTGTGACTTCTTGTTTTTCCTGCAAAGTTGGTAAATCATTCCATGGCTCAAACCCAAAATCACAGCTGTTTCCAGCTGCCTGCCAGGGTCTCAAATGCTTCTGACCAGGGCCTGGAACCTCCGAAAATGTCTGAGGGACATTTTGAGTTCCAACAGGAGGTGGTGGTGGGATCCAGCCCGGCCGACAAGCCCTGCTCCTGCAGTCTGCCTTCCCAAAAGCGTTCCCACGGGTCTGGCCGGGACCGGGAGGGCTGCGGCATTCCCGGGAATTATCAGCAGGAATATTAGCAGCCAGAGCTTTTTAACTATTCTTGCCAAACTTTAATGAACGGCGTCATTGCTATTAACGAGCCCGATTAGACCAGCTGTTGAAAGCCTTTATTAAATATTAGCTCAGCTTTTACCTGGGCCAAATTCCCCTTGGAATTTTCGAAGATTGAAGGAAACTTCGGGGCAAACCCCCAAGCTCTGGCTTATCCCAGCTGCACTTCCCAAACTCCTCTGAATTTTGCCCTGCCCGGAGGAGCAGCCCCGTTGGCTCGAGCAC